GGAGGGGATGGGAGATGAAGTCAGAGGCATGGCGGGGGCAGATCACCCAGGGCCTTGATGTCCCAGGTGGGGGTTTGGAATGAACTCTAATTCTACACTAAGTCATTGAAGAGTTTTAGGCAAGAGAATGTAAGTTTTACAGTCAGCAAGAGCTGAGCTGATATAAACTGGAAACACTGATGTAGTAGCTGGGTGGATAATGAACTTGGTATGGGGGGAGGGCAAGGGCGAAGACGACAGTCACACACTGGACAAGAGTTGGTGGATGGCCTGACCAGGGTGTTAGCAGCAGAGATGGGGGATGTGTACCAGCAGGACTTGCTGATGGGCTGCAGAGTGGAAAAGTTAAAGAATCAAAAAGGCCTCCAGGTCTGGGGCCTGAGCAGCAGGCGGTGTCCTTGACCGAGGTGGTGATGCTGGGGAAGGAGCAGCCGGGAGGAACCGACAGTTCTGCTTTGGTCGTGCTCCAGACACCCAAGAAGGAATGTCAAGGAGGACAGCTGGAGTTAGGAAGGATAAGAGGAGCCAGGATTAGAGACGTGACTGTCAGAAAAATGGAGATAACCTCTAGGAGAGAGGGAACACAGCCCAGGAAGGAGCGTGAGGATAAACCCCTGGGTCTCCACCCGCAGCAGGTAGAATGGGGGAGAGAGGTAGAGCCAGAGGAAGCCAGAGAGGAGTAGCCAGTCTAGAGGAGGAAGTGTTTCCAGAAGGATCGGTGGTCGTCCGTGGACTCCGAGGAGGGCAGAGATCTGCCCATGGCCTTGCTGGAGCAGCTGTGGGGCGTGGTGGGCGGAAACCTGATTGGAGATAGCAGGACAGTGAAGACGGAGGACAGCCGCGTCTTAGGGAATTTTGGTCCAGAAAAGAGCAGAGAACTGGGATAGTAGCTGGAGGGGTTTGTGGTGTCAGGAGAGTACGTTTTCTTTTAAAGAAGAAAGAACATGGCTGGTGGGAGCAACCTGGTGGGGAAGTAGAGCTGATACTTTGGGAAGAGAGGGTGTGTGGCAAGAGCTGCATCTTTGAGAGAAAAGGCTGGGCTGGAGCCTGCAGGACACGGCCTGGCTGGAGATGGGCTGGGGACGGCCACCCCTGTAATGGGAGGGACAGATGCAGGAGGTGGCTGGACGGCTGAATGAGTGAGTGGGAATTTATCGAGTGCCTACCATCTGCCGGGTGCTGGGTAGATGTGGATAATAGAGGTGGACAGGGCCCCTGCCCTCGGGGAGCTTACCCCTGGGCAGGCCCCGGCGGGCTGCGCCGATCGCAGTGAAGGACACGAGTGGCGGGACCCAGAGTAGCTCGAGACCACAGCTCCTGTGAGAGCCGGGAGGCGGCAGAGCCCAAGTCAAGTGCAGGGGACACATGGGTTGGGAGCCTAGTGGGGTGCACGGGAGATTTGGGGGACATCCTCCTGGGGCCCAGAGAGGAAGGGGCCGTGTGAGGATGCCCTGGAGAGTGGGTGGGATGAAGAAACTTTGTGGGACAGTCTGGCTGGCTGGAGGCTGCAATCCCCTCCCCGTCCTGCCCCCAGAAGGTGAGGGACTTTGGAGAGAGAAGGGAGCTGGACTGTGCCCCGAAGCAACCTCAGGAGCCCACAGCGACCACCGGTGCCCAGAGCCTTGGGCGCACCTGCCAGGGCTTCATGAGGTGCTTGCTGGAGGTAGAAGAGGAGGAGGCCACCCATCGGAGGGCCACCAAGGTCCGGGCCCTGCAAAGCCGCAAGTCCCCCAGGACCCTGACCCCTATGACCATCGCAGGCCCGCTGGGCAACGCAGCCTCAGGCCTGCATCTGACACTGCCTCAGGCCCCTGCCTCGGCCTCCGCCATGGCCCCATCCTGGGCCCGGACGCCGGCCCCTGGGCCAATCCCTGGCCCTGCGGGAGCCCCGGTCCTGGCCTCTGTACCTGTCGCGGTCCTGCCCGCGCCCACCCCGGACCTGGGCTGGAGAAGGATGATACTCTTGCACCAGGGCGGCGAGAGGAGCCTGAGCCATGCCAAGGCCCGGTAGGAGCCGCCCCAGGAAGGTGTCCAGGGTCTGGGCCTCTGTCCCCTCCTCCCTGGCATCTCTCTCCTGGTCGACTCTTGTCCCTGTCACTGCCCCGTTTCCTCTTGTGTGTCCTGCTCTCCATTTCTCATCTCTGTCCTCTCTCCCAGCTCCGTGTCCCCATATCTAGGTCTCCTTTCCCATGTCTAACCTCGGTTTTCTTCCCAACGCCCGGGGACGATGGGTGCGTCTTTTCTCGTGTCCCTCACCTCTGCCTAGATCTTCCTCCGGGTCACTCCGCCTCTTCTGGCCTCTCTCCAAGCCTCCCCCCTGGGGTCCTGCCCATGACCTCCTCTGCCCCAGCTTCCCCCTCCCCCGCCCCCAGCTCTGGGGCAGCCTGGGGCAGGGGCAGGGACAGGGCAGGTGGCTGGATGTGCACCCAGGGCAGTTCGTCCTCTGCAGGCAGGAGCTGGAAGAACGCTGCCTCCTAAACTTGTACCAGAACTGGGAGGAGCGGGCGGAGGAGCACCTCACCCTGAAGCAGGAGGAAGGTGAGGCCCCGCCAGGGAAGCCCCTCGCAGGGCCAGGCGGAGCCCTCGGGCCTTTGGGGTTCATAGACCTGGGGTGGGGTGGTTCACAGATCAGACCGCTGCCCTGTGCCCACCCCAGTCCTGTGTGGTGGGCCCAGTGGGGTATCTGGCTGGGGGACAGTGCAGGGTGGGAGGCTGACCCGAGCGCTTACCGTGAACCTGGAGCCGCCTTCTCACTTGGGTCTGTTGATTCTACCCCGCATTTTTCTGTGGGCTGAGACACCAGACATCACACCCGTTAGGACAGGACAGGGCCTTTGTACCAGTTGGCACTGCCCCGGGGCTTTCTCCGCATCCTTCCTGGCCCTCTGCTCGCGTCCAGACAACTGAAGCTCTCCTAGGAGCCATGTCCATGCAGCTAGGGGACCACAGCCCACCGAAGTCAAGGTGCAGACTGAGAGTCAGAAAGACCTTTCTGGCCGCCTAACCTCTGAGCCTGTTTCCCCGACTTTACAAAAGGAACAAGCCTCCTGCTCTTGCGAGGCTGTCGTGAGGATTAAATGAGAACGTGGCCATAAAGGGCCCAGCGCAGTGCCCGGCACATAGGGGGTGCTCCTGGCGCAAGGCGAAGGCTGCTAATTACTTGGCCTGCCGCACGGGCTGAGCCCGCACCTGACCTTGGGCAGAGCGCGGAGCAAGTCCTGGGGCCACCACCCCCACTTTCACTCCTGTGGTTCCTGTCCCTCCACCTGGCCAGGCTAGTAGAGGGCACTGGGCAAGACGGTGGCTGGAGGGGACAGGGTGAGTGTTGGAAACAAGGTCCCCACCCCACGGGACCCCACTGCCCGCCCCAGCCTTCCACAGCTACTTTGAGGTCTTCAATGGCCATGGCGAGGTGGACGCGCGCAGCCTGGAGAACGTCCTGCTCCTCGTGGGCATGTCCCTGACGCCGGCCCAGGTGAAGGACGCCCTGCTGAGTGCCGACATCGACGGTGAGTGAGGGAGGCTTCACTCTGAGTCCCGGGGTGACAGCCCCACGGGCAGCGAGAGTCCTGTGCAGGACTGCGTTCAAAGGGCCCGGCCCTTGGTTTAATGCTCTGCTGTCCCAGTCTAAAATTTTCTTAAAAAATATGTTTTTATTGATTTCGGAGGGAGGAAAGGGGAGAAGGGGAGAGAGAGAGAGAAATATCAATGATGACAGACTCATTGATCGGCTGCTTCCTGAAAGCCCTGTACTGGGGATTAAGCCCGCAACCCGGGCGTGTTCCCTGACCGGGAATCAAACCCTGATCTCCTGGTTCATAGGTGGACACTCAACCACTGAGCCACGCCAGCCAGGCTAGAATTAAAAAAAATAATTATTGATTTGCGAGAAGAAGGGAGAGAGAGAAAGAAACAGATACCTATTTGTTGTTCCACCTATTCATGCATTCATTGGTTGATTCTTGCATGTGCCCTGACCAGGGATCAAACCCACAGCCTTGCACATTGGGACAACTCTCTAACCAACTGAGCTACCTGGCCAGGGCCAGTCTAGAAATTCTTAATAATGTTTCCTGCCATTTTCATTTTGCGTGGGACCCCACAAATTATATAGCTTGTCCTGGCCCTGAAAGTTAATACTCCCTGAGCACCTACTCAGTGCCAGGTTCTGGTGACTTGGAGGTGATGACCAACACCTACCTCCTGACCCCAAGATGTACATGATCTCTGAGATCTCTTCCTTTTAGGCCCTTGTATGTGCTTCGTTGGACAGTCCCCTGTGACTTGGTGACTCATTTTACCTACTGTATGACCTTGGATGAGTCATTGAAGTTCACCAAGCCTCAGTTTCCCTATCTGTACAATGGAGCTGATGGCAATAACCCATCTCACTGTGCTGCTGAAAAAGTTTAATGAGATAGTACAGGCAAAGCACTGAGCAAAACACCTGGTGTACAAAATGCATCCAGAAGACATTAGCTGCTAGTATTACACATGGTTTGGTTGGCTAGATGCAGGACATGGGAGCTGTGGAGGGCCTGGGCTCTTGACCATTGCTTCCTCCATCACTGTACAAATGCGAATCTTCACACACAAGACAAGAATTGACACCAGCTCCATCCCTACGTGACCCTCGGCAACAGGCCCATCTGTCACAGGGGGATAAGTGTACTGAGCACCCCCAGAGGGTGGTTTTAAGGATTAGAGATTATTCATTCATTCGTCAGGCACTTCAGAGAACATTTGCTAACACCTACCTGTCTTAAGCCCGGAGAACACAGTGCAGAACAAAACAGGCCCAGTTCCTGCCTCCCAGGACCTCCTTTAAATTCCAGATCTTCTAAGTGTGTGGTTGAAGTATGGGTTTTCATTTTTTTTTAAATATGTCTTTATTGATTTCAGAGAGAGGAAGGGAGAGGGAGAGAGAGAGAGAGAAACATCAATGATGAGAGTCATTGATCTGCCTCCTGCACACCCCCTACTGGGGATTGAGCTTGCAGCTGGGGCACGTGCCCTGACTGGAAATCCAACCGTGGTCTCCTGGATCCTAAGTTGATGCTCAACAGCTAAGCCATGTGGGCCGGGCTGAAGTACAGGGGTTTTTATGAGAGTGTTTGATGGGGGATCTGACCTGGGCTGGGCTGACTTCTCTGAGGGATGGTCAAGGGGAAGTATTAAGTGAAGGAGTTGGAGGGTGGTAGAGAAAATTCTAGGAAGAGGAAGCAGCATGCTCAAAGTTCCTGAGCAGGGAAGCACGTGGCCCCTGGTGGGAGAGCAGGTTAGTGCTGGAGGAGCCTGGCACTGGGTGAGGCTGGAGACAGGTATCAACCAGGTCTAGCGGGGCCCTGAAGGCCAAAGTGGGACTCAGTATGAACACACGTATTCTCATGCTGTGACTAGCACATGGTAATAATACTAATTGCTGACAGTGAGCATGTATTATGTGCATGGCCCTGTTCGAAGTCCTTTGCCTCATTTTATCTCCCATGAGATAGGTATTATGGTTATCCTCATGCTATAGACGGGACAACTAAGGCCTAGTGGCACTAAAAGACTTTGTCAAGGTCACACGAATAGTAAGTGGCAGACCCAGACTGCTGTCTCCGGGACTCAAGTTCTGGGAGCTTCTAACCCAGGGGATTTTAATATTTGCCTTCTACTCACTCTCCTGTGTGCACCACACTTTCTGCATTGACTATATGTTACTTTTATCATCAAACCCAATGAATAAATACTAATAATCATGCTGGGGTTGCAATGCCTGAAGCCGTTGCGGAGGGCCCCTCCCATCCCCTATTCTTCTGGCCTCTGCAGGAGATGGTCACGTGGGCTTCAAAGATTTCTTGGCCGTAATGACAGACACCAAGCGCTTCTTCTGCTCCGTGGGTGAGCAGGGGTGAACCCAGGGCAGTCAGAGCTCGGAAAGGGAACAGGTGGATGGGGGTGGGGAGTACCCAGAGCTAGCAAATGGTAATGGCAGCCACCATCCCATGTCCCCAGAACAGAATGCCCTGACGGACATGGTTTCCCGGGATCCCCACACTCTGTTCTTTGAGATCCTGTCCCTGCTGGTGGAGATGCTGGCCTTACCCGAGACAGCCTTAGAGGAGATCACCAAGTGAGTAGGGCTGGTTGTGGGGAGGTGGAGGGTTGGGGACATAGAAAGAGCACCTAGTCTTTTGGCAGCTGAGGGCTTTTGATAGTTAGAGGACTCTTAGTGGGACGTGAAAGAAACCCAAATAAAACTGGCTTAAGCAAAAGGGGAATGTATTGGCTCACATAGCTGTTCAGGGCCTCGGGAATGGATGGCTCCAGGAGACCAGATACCATCAAGGCGTTTTTCTCTCTCTTGCTCATCTCTGCATTGGCTTCAGGCTCAGCGAGGCTCTTCCCAGAGTGGGGATGGCAAGTGGCAGCCCCATACTCACACTGTCTTAGTTTAGCAACCACGGCAGCAAGAGACATTTTTCCTTACAGTACTTTAGAGCAATCCCAGAAAAGGGGTGTGATGGAGCCCGCCTGGGGCCAGAGAACACAGAGAGGGAAGCCTCCCCATGTTTCCAGGGTGGGCCAGTGGTTTATCTAGGGAAGAGATGGCTACATACAAAAACATCATGGACACTCGAGGGCTAGAAGCAAAGGGTGAGGGCAGAATGCCCCAGAAGGCCTGTCTGTCACACAGACGCTTGTCCCTGTCGCTCAGTAAGTTGGATCATTTTTTCCTACCAAGGACCAGACCTTTCCACATGGGGTGGGGGAGGGGGGATGACTGCAGTTGGCTCCAGAAACACTGCTTAGCAACCCCGAAGACAAGAGATCTACTTTCCTTCCAATACATATGACGCTGAAACATTAATGTTTTTTAAAGCAATAAAACATGTCCCTAGTTTAAAAATAGATTATTTCCAGTAACCTTGAAGCCACCATGTGCTCCACCCCCAATCACAAAACACTCTCCCCCCCAAAACGAACTCACCATCACGCCCTTGCTTTTTGTTTTAAAAAGGCACTCCTTATTTTTTCCGTCATTGTTTACTGAAAATTTCAAACATACAGCAAAGTTAAAAGAATTTTACAGTGAACAACACAGACACCCTCCCTCTCAGGAGTGGGGAACCTTTTTTCTGCCAAGGGCTATTTGGACATTTGTAACATCATTCGCGGGCCATACAAAACTATCAATTTAAAAAAACTGGTTATGACAAAAGCTCCCAGATTTATTGAATTTTGAGTCCCACTTGCAGTTGCCTTGGCACAGCCAGACCAAATGATTTCGAGGTCCGTATACGGCCCACAGGCCCAACGTTCCCCACCCCTGCTCTAGGTTCTACCACTGCAATGTTGCCATACTTGTTTTACCTTCTATCTACCCACCCTCTATCTAATTATCAATCCATACTGTGGTTTTTTTATTTGTTTCAAAATAAATCATAGTCGTTTCCCTCTAAATGCTTCGGGTATACGTAACATTAACTAAGGGTCAATATTTGCTTAGAGCCTTTTGTTTCTGAGGTGTAATTTCCATTCAGTGAAACGCACAAATCATCCTGTAAGTCTCCACAAATGCCCACACCCGACAACCCGAACCCCTCTCAAGACTTACAGAACTTTATCACGGCTGCAGAAAATGCCCTCATGACTCCGAGCCCATCCCTCCAGAGGCAAGCCCTCCTCTCAATTTTTTCCTTCACAGATTGTTTTTGCCTGTTTTATGACTTCATATAAACGGAAACATACAGTACGTAGTCTTTTCTGTCTAGCTTCTCTCACTCAGCACAGTTGTTCTGAGGTTTGCCCACGCTGCTGTGGGCATCAAGTCCTCCCCTTTTTACTGCTGAGTAGTACTCCACTGTATGCATGGACCAGTTCGTTGATCCCTTCTTTTACTGACAGACTTCTGGGCTGTTGCCAGTTTGGGGCTATAATAAAGCTGCTCTTAACATTTTTGTACAAGTCTTTTTGTGGACATACCTTTTTATTTTCTGGGATAAATATCCAGAAGTGGAACTGTTAGGTTATAGGGTAGCTGTATTTTTACTTATAAGCAGCTGCCAGGCCTTTTCCCAGGTGGCCGTGCCAATTCACACTCCTCCCGCCGACAGGGGGGTTCTGGTTGCACCGCGTCTTGTGCAAATCCAGTAGTCACTCTCCAATTTATTCATTCGGGTGGGTATGTAGTAGAGCGCTTTTTAAAAACTCACATTTGTCTCTATTCCTGAATACTTTATTTTTGAACTTTATATGAGTGAACTCATACTAAAAGTCTCCCGTTACTTGCGTTTTTCCTCAATGTTCTTCTTTTGGGGGGGAGAAACATCGATTTGTTGTTCCATTTTTTTATACATTATTGGTCGATTCTTGCATGTGCCCTGACCGGGGATCAAACCCGCAACCTTGACATATCAGGATGCCGCTGTAACCAACTGATCCACCCTGCCCGGCTCTCCTCGATGTCAGGCTTTTCAGATTCATTCATGTTCTTGTGCATAGCTGTAGCTCATTCATCATTTTCACTGCTACTTACTAGGAGGTAGTATGACTATATGACAATATTTTTATTCATTCTGCAGAGAGAGATTAGGGCTATGTTCGGTTTCCAGCTATGGCAGAAACGGTTTGGATATTCTTGTATGTCTCCTGGAACACATGGGCAAGAGTTTCTTCAGAGCAGCAGTTTCCAAGCTTTTTGGTCTCACAATCCTTTAAACTCTTGAAAATTATTGAGGACACCAAGGAACTCCTGTCAATATTTTCTATATTTCAACTTAAACTGAGAAATTTAAAAAATACCTGTTCATTTATTTAATATTAATAACCCCATTACGTGTTAACATAAAAAACATTTTAAATGAAAAATAACTTTCCCAAAACAAAACAAAATAGGTCAGTGAGAATGACATTGTTTTACAATATTGCAAATCTCTTATCGCCTGTCATAAAAGAAGAGAGCTGGATTCTCATCTCTGCTTCTGCATTCAACCCATTGCAATACGTTGTTTTGCTTGAAGTATATGAATAAATTTGGCCTCACACATATATGTAATTGGAGAGGGAGTCTTTTAATAGTCTTTTCATTAAATAGCCACATATCATGTGCATATTTTTCTTTGATACTATACCAAATTTGACAGGTGGTAGTGTCTTAAAGGTTGCTTGCAATATGGAATCTGAAACCATAGCAATGAAGTTTTCAGACTCTTTTAAATAAAAAATCTATTGGTCTGCCTTGTAGTTTGAATGGATCTTTTCCCATGAATGATTTTGTAACATGCATTGATCATTTGGAAAATACTGCGTTATCTTCCAAATGTTGACATATTTCATTATAATTAGATGTACATTACACATGTAATTATGTCACCACTAATATCACAAAAGTGTTAAAGCCCTAGAAGTGTTGTGGGTGGTTGTAGTTCGCCCATTTTTGCTGCTATAAGCTATGCTGTGTATGAACATTGTAGATGCTTGTGATGATCGGTCCAAGTTTTCCAAAATTCTAACTTTTACTTGAAAGCTTTGATTTTATTATCACAGACAACAAAAATGCCGTGTCAGTTTTTATGGAAGTGATGGGCTCACTTCATCTATTTTGGGGAAAATATCAGCCAAAACCCAAAGAAGAATAGCCTTAGTTTGTCTTCTCTTCATTCAATGTGGAGGGAGGTCCAACCTTCCTTTCCCCCTCAGAGCTGCCCACTGGGACTGGCTGAGACGGATTAACAGGAGAAAAGCATACGGATCTTATTTACATGCACACGGGCACCCTCACAAGGAAGGTGAAGACTCGAGGTGACTGGGCCCAAGTGCTTGTACAATCAGTTGAACAAAGGACAACTGTGGAAAAGTTACTAACACGTGCGGGCATTTTAGTTACTTTTAACAAGCTCTGTTTGTACAGAGTTCTCTTAGCCAAGGCTCCCAGTCTCTTGTGACAAGAATGTTTCCCCTCCTGGCACCGGGTGGGCACCTTTCTCATGGAAATTTTTCCTCTGGCTTTCAGAAAGAGAAAGGAACGTCAGAGTGCCCTTTTTTAATCCGCTGTTTTTCAAGTGCCTTTAACTCAAAATAATCAATACAAGGTAGTCCATTTTGGGGTGGCATGTCCTGGATGCCTTTGTCACCTCTGCCACCTGAAACTTCTCAAGAAGTTTCACATATTAAAAGCTTTTTAAGAAAAAATTCTGTGGAGAGAAATTCGAGTTAAGAGCTCTGTAAGAGGGGGAGGAAAACACAGATTGGAACAAGCAGAGGACAAACCTGAGCACGGCGTCCCATGTTTCAGGGGTCAGTCCTCAGTCCTGAGGACAGGTCAGTTCAGTTAGACTTTGCGGCTCACCTGCGGGGGCGCTGGCGTGGGTGGGAGTGGGCACCACCCAATGAGGCCTGTGTGTGCTGTGATAAGGCATTTAATGAGGGCCATTTCTTTGAGAGGAAAGAGAAAGAGAGGTTAATGGTTAGTACGAATTGTAAGCTCAGTGTTTGAGTCTAGCGGGCAGTGGATCAAGATTTTTACTCCTTGGGCTTAAAGCATCTTTAGATGGTAGAGTGAGGACAGGCGGTGGCAACTGGTCAGTTTCCTGGCTTGCAGTTTGAATGTCTTTGGCGATGGCACTGGGTGATCGGATATTCCAGCGAACTTGAGAGTGGCCCATACAGCTGCAGGCGCAAAGGTTATTTATACGTGATCTGTTGTGATTTGGGGGGAAAGTTTACATTAAGTCATTCAGCTTTAGCTTGTAGGGTTTTGAGAAAAGGGCAGTCCTAGTTTTTAGCGCGATGCCAAGTCTAGAGGGTGGGAGATAAATTGGAAATGTTAATTTACTGACAAAATGCATAAAATGGCAGAAGCCAGTTTATAAAGGGGACAAGAAGCTCAAAGTCAGTGAACACGGCACTGTTCAACAACCCACAAAGGCTGTAATGGTTTTTATTGTGTGACAGATTTTATTGCAACATAGAATTTTTTTCTCTACAATCACCTCCATCTTTATCAAAGCTAATCAGAAACTAATTGGTTTATAAAAATAAGTCTTGTCTCAATAACTTGGCTTGACTATGTAAGTGCAGCAAAGACAGCTCTTTTAAAGTCTGTTTTGCTGGGACTTTTCAGGAAGAACC